AAGAAAATATTTTTTAAAAAAGAAAATAAGTATAGAAAAATCTTATCTCAATCTGGTAAAAAGATTTGTGACAAATCTACCATAATGATCATACTAAATGGTCAAAAATAAAAGCTTTTTCCTCTAAAATTAGAAACAAGACAAAGATGTCCACTGTCACCACTTCCATTCAATATAGTACTCAAATTTTAACCAGGACAGTCAGGCAAGAGACAACAATAAATAATATATATATATATAGGGAAAAAAGGGTCAAAGTATCTTTGTTCACAGACAACATGATCCTTTACATAAAAGATCCAAGAAAGTCCACCGAAAGACTCTAGAGCTAATAAATTCAGTGAAGTAGCAGAACACAAAATTAATTTACAAAAATCAGTAGTGCTCCTGTATACTGACAACCCACTGAGAAAAAATTTAGGAAAACAAAACAATTCACAATAGCTTCAAGAAAAACTGAATATCGGGCCTGGGAGATGGCTCAGTGGAATAAGTGCTTTCCTGGCAAGCACAAGGGCCTGAGTTCAATCCCCGGTTTGGGGGGGGGGATTGAGGACAAAGGAAGTGAAAGACCTCTACAACAAAAATCAGAGCATTCTGAAAACAGAGATCAAAGAGAACATCAGAAAATGGACAGACAAGCTGGAGGTGATGGTACATGCCAGCCAGCGCAGCACTCTGGAGGCTGAGGCGAGAGGATCTCCACAGGGCCTGAGTTCAATCCCCGGTTCCGCAAAAAAACTTATGTATAGATTTAATGTGCTCCCAATCAAAATACCAAAAGCATCCCTCACACAACTAGGGGAAAACAATCTTAAAATTCGTATGAAACCAGAAACCTAGAATAGCAAAAGAAATCTTGGAAAGTAAAAATAAAGCAGAGGCATCATAGTTCTAAATTTTAAGCTGTATTACAAAGCTACAATGAGAAAAACAGCATGGCACTGAGACAAAAACAGACATTTGGCAAACAGAACAGAACAGAGGCTGTGGAGATGACCTCAAGCACATTCAGCTAGCTCATCTTTGACAAAGGCACCATAAGACATACACAAGGGAGGCCAGGGAGGTAGCTCAATAGAATAAGTGCCAGATGGCAAGCACAAGGTCCTGAGTTCAAATCCCGGTGCCGTACTGGGCTGGGCGGGGTGGGGCAGGGCGCGACAAACACAAGAGGAAATATAACAAATGGCGCCAAGAAAATTGGCTATTCACATGCAGAAGAATGAAGGCACACTTATATCCCTCGCCGTATACTAAACCAAAATCAAAAT